GGGGGGGCTAAAACCTCCTAACCTCAACCTAACAATTGTTTTTTCGATAAGGACAGCTATCATTAGACTGATTGTCATGTAATACTTACGTAAATTCTGTCCTTACTGTACCGAACTTTGATATTGTGAAGGAGAGTGGCCTCATTTAAATACATAAGGGAACCTGCAAGTAAAAGACAATCATATACCATTAGGAGCTCAGGTCCACCTTTGTGTACAGACAAAAATCTAAATCCTAGGCTTAAGGAAAATTTTACTTTCCCTTTCTTTGGTTACAGTTTAATCCTATTATTTCTTTATACTCTCTTCATGTAGAACTGCTGACTCAATATATGCTTTAAAAATCGTAGACCTGCCCTTTACTGTACAACTGGAGTTACTGAACAAAGAGTCAGACTCCAGCAATCTCAACACAGGCCCTGCTCAGTGTACGCTCCCTTTTACTAGTCTTTCAAATAAACACGATGCACCTCCCTCCATGTCAGCCAGCAAGCACAGAAATCAATGCCCACCAAAATCCCTGTTTCCTTCCTTCCAGCTTCCATCTCCACTCTCAGACACCTGAGTGTCCCCTGAGTAATGCCACCTAACTGACATTTAGAGTAACTGCTGGCTCCTGGTGATTTTTAGATGTTTATTATTCACCAATTCAATCAGAAAATACTATGTAGACATGGCAGCAGGCATCATTGTAACACCAGGCACCAACAAAACCTTTCATGTTTCAATTCTGAATTTTATTGCTACTAGGCCTCCTCAAAAAAACTGTTAGGGGGAAAAAAAAATGTTTACAAAAACTAGCTTTATTTTTCTCTTTAGATCATGAATATAAAATAACCAAACTAACTCTACTGAAATGTTGCAAGGCAGAAGCTCAAATAAGTGAGCAGGCACTGACAGAATGCTTCAGACCATACAGATTCACATTCTGGCAAAGCTGGTCCTTGTTTTCAGCTATAAAGCACTGGAAAGTGTTAGCAGCCTAAATTACAGAGGTCATTACCAGTCTAACAATATTAAAAACATTATTCCTAAACTAACTGAGGGCACTACTCACTACACAGCCTCCATTTTCACGCTCAATCCTCTTTTTCTTGCCATTTAGAATTCAAGCACACAACACTGTTTTGTCCAGTTGCAACTGACTGACTACCATAGTGGTAAATTTTACAGTATTAGTGCCACTTAAAACGTTATGTATATCTGACTACTGTTGATGAAGCAAGAACTGTGACTATAATTGTAACTGCTACCCTGCACCTCACATGAGGGCCACATATGCACCTTTCACCTATAATGACTAACAAAGTTGTTTCTCAAGTTGGACTATGTTGGACTGATGCCCTTTCTCAAGGACTGCAGCAGAGAAAAATGTTTTCCAACTTATTTACACAAATATGCAAGAAGGGCTGCCACTTCTTATGATCTGAAGTCAACCTGTTCAGCCACCTCACCCTGCAAAGATGCTTGAAGCTCAGTAAGCAACTCTTAACAGCTCCTTCAACACTCCTCCCACTGAATCAAAAGATACCGGCAAAGGATAATGGGACCTTCTCAAGACCCTCTGTGTTTTCATTTTCAATATTTTACCCTTTCTTCCACAGTCGATTAAGGAGTGCCTCTGCCTCCCACCACCTACACCAGACCAGTTTGAAGCAAAGGCAGGTTCAGCAACCATTTGCAGCCTCCCTTTGGCTTGCATAGCTTCCCTGAGTAACAGCTCTTCTTTCCCTTACATGACTAAATACAGCTTTGCTTAAAATGGCTGGAATCATTCAACCTTCTCAAAGGACCCTGTAACTTCTGGGTTGCTTAGAAGAAACCACCTTCCTCTGCAAAATCCCTAGCATGCACCTCCCTGCGTTGGTAGAGATACGAGACACGCTTTAGGTTTACACTAAGCAAAATCTCCCTCTGGATCACAACAGCCTTGAAATCAGGCCCCGTACATGAGACGTTCATGAAGCAGCAGGCCGGCCCTGATCACCGTGGCCTTTCCCCTGCCACCCCAGCAGAGCTACACCACCCACTAACTGCATGGTCAGCGCTGCACAGCAGGACTTCTCCTCCCCTCCTGAGGCACACTCAGTCCACATGGCTAAGAACATGGCACTGGGACCACAAACTGCAGGTCTACCTCCACAGACCTCTTTCCACGTTCACCTTTTTTTTAACAAGGTCATCCCAAGAGAAAGAGACATCACAAGGAAATGGACCAGAAACAGGAACTCCTGCTTGCTCTAATGAAAGTTAAAATCTCCTTCTCCCCTTGTATATGCCTTGGGGATGGTGGCAGGAAAGGGACAGGGACAGGGTGTTAACTTCTGAAGTTTGCTAATTTAAGTAATTTGGATTCACAGTATTGAGTTGAGAGAAACTACTATACAGTAATCGTCTACATACACTTCAAGAAACTATCCTCTGCCTTGACTGTATCTTCATAAGAACCTCTCAGGGTTTGCAGAATGCTTTACAGGAAACAGTCATCAGTTAAGCATCCTAATAAAAACTTGGTAATTATCTAAACAACAAAGGACCACAGATTTCTGCACTCTCTTAGCAAGTCCTGGTTAAAGCAGTTATACCTGCAGACTTGGTGCATAATGAGAGCTTGCTCCCTGAGGGAATGTCACTGCCTTCACTCAAGACATGGAAGGTAGGGCTTATGTCAGCAACCTCAAAATGCATCTTCTTTAGAATAAATCCTTTAAAAGAGGCATCCATATCCAGAGGCAAAGGAAGTCACCAGAGGGAGAATTCTGAATATTCATATGGCTCATGTCTAAATATAACCAATGTATGTACGTGCATTTAATAGTCCATGTATTTACTTAGATGCACACACACAAAGTTCACAGAAGTGAAGTCAGGCACTGAAAGCTAGAAAATATCAATGTCAAATTTATCCACATTGGCTCTCCTGTGCACACAGTGAAACAGGACTTGTATGGAAAATAATTTTATCATGTAATTGCAAGCCTCTGCATCTGTAGACTATTTTTTTAAAGATTCTTATCTGATACTCCACCCTCTTTCATTTTTTAAAGTTGTTTTACCCCAGAAATAAAATAGCTTTTTCTTGGGCATAAAAAATAAGAATTTCATATATGGTGACAACCCTCCAAAACTGAGTGATGTTGGGGGGCCAGAAGAAGAGTGTGAATGACCAAAAAAAAAAAAAAAAAAAAAGTAGTAAATGCTTTGTCTCTGTACTGTTTGCAATATTTACTGAAAATTCACATTTGAGAAAGGCGTAGATTCTCAAAGAGGTACCTCCTGCATCTAGCACATTTGGGATATGGAAGACTGAGGGTGCAAAAAAAGCAATAATCAGCAAAGTACCTCATAGAAGAGAGTTAATCACTAAAGCATAGCTTAGAATGGTAAGTGTATTATTAACTAGTTTTTCAGAACAGTTTTTCAGAGACTGAAAGTACTCAGTGTTTTATAAAGTTTCTTCTTGAAGTGCTAAGGCTTGGACAACAAGCCCAAGCTAGAGCTGACCTATAGAAGAATCCTGTACATTTTATAACTGATAACCATTGTGCTAGTAGGTACTGTACTAAGTTAGAACAACCCACTTATGCTGATGTAAAATGCTAAAGTGTTGAAATACTGAAGCCTGAATAGCAGGCCCGGATTTGAAGCTGCCAATAGTATGTAATCGTTAACAAAGTATATATGCTCACTAGTGAAAGATGCAGCTTAGACAGAATATAATCAGAGTAGTGAGGATGAAAGGCTGAGAGAATTTATCCAACTTTCCTTTCTCAGCCTTGTTAGAAACTCCCTGGCCAGGCTTTGGGTGGAATGCAACAGGAGACTGAAACCAGAAATTTTCTGCTCAAAACGAAGATGCCAATTATTCTGGCTTGCTGATTTTTAGTATATAAGGCTGGACCCACTCACAGTGACTTTGGCAGCCTCACCTGTGGGTGGACGCACCATGTAGGGTTTCCCCCTTGCCGGGACAGGCTCTGCAAACCCTCGCTGTAACTGGGGCTGCCCAGCCACTGCGGGGCTGGGTGACGGGAACGTCTGCAAGTGGTGAGGGATCTGTCCTAATCACTATTGTCTCTCGTGTAGTAATGATTTGATGCATTACCCTGTATTTTCCTATTTGCTGCTTTAGGTGCATTATTCTGCCTTTCCTTACTGCATGTTTTCTGTATTACTCTGTTACATTATTCAGTTATCACTAGCAAAATATGCCTACTCTTTTCACTCTGGTGTCCAAGTTTAATTGGTATCCTTCATCAGCAAAACACTTCTTAAAGATCAATGATGCTCAGCACAAACACTCTCTGACAGAGAAGGAAAATGAACTTGGGTTTTACACATCATGGAGATAAATCTCAACTAACGAACAAAAAGTGAGAAAACATTAGAAAAGTCTCACAATAACGTTTGATACAGAAAGGATTACTGGACTTTTTATGTTTTATGTTTTACTCAGTAAGCCAAAGCCAACATCTTCTCTGATAGGAAGACTGGTTTCCTTTGCTGGAATCTCAAATTATTTCATAATCTCACTCTAAATTTCAGTCCCCTGACTAGGGCACTGAGGTGGCAGGACATCTCAGGAAAACCACTGTGGCAGATGCACAGATTAAATGTATTTCCCTACCAATCATCACGTGCAGAGAATACAAATACCTGCTTTGAAAAGTTTCAACCCACGTAATGTTTGCAAAAATATAAGCAACTGAAAACAAGGCTACCAGCTTGGTTCTACCTGTAACGACACTGCACCATCTAAGTCAGATCATAAGCCTCAGGTCTCATCTTCTTGTTCCTTATGAAGCAGCTGTAACAGCTCTATTTCCTGTCACAGGATATAAATACTAACCCCTATTCCAAAATTGGAATTACCTAAACAACTTTCAAAGTCCTAGCCTCTGTTTTAAATGAAGAACAATAGAAGATACTTTTGTCCACCATTTACAAAGTTATCAGTATTTTCACCAACCAGTAAACACCACAGGAAACATTTTAAAAAATTGCCTTCATCAAGTTTTCAGAACAGGAGAGTCTCAGGGATTTGCTCGCACAGAGCAACAGCAGCAAAATACTTCAACAGTTCTCTGAAAGCCAATGCCAGCGCTTCCTCGTCTTTCTTAGTACTCTCTCCCCTCTCCCCAGATTTGAAGACCTTATTTGTTTCCAGACATCTAACTACAAAATACTTAATAAAAGCCCTGTGAATCAACACCGAAGTTCATTATACAAGTTCACGTCAAAACTCCTTCTCCAGCAGCACTCCTGTATCTGAATCACTATAAGCTATTTCCTTTTCTAGTGGCCCCAGCAAGTCCAGATTCCCATATCCAGTTTTGGGAAGGTTATCTTAAAATTTATTTTCAGTTACCTGTCCTTCCACAGGAATTCTATCTGAGAACTGGGTTTACATGCAGGAAAATGCTGTACAACACAGCTGCTGATAAAGCAACTAATTCTTCTGCTGCACTATAAAAGATAGAGTTAACCCATAATGCTGGAGGTAGTTGATCCTCATGCAGTTAAGTCACATCACATATATATATTTTTTATATATATATATATATATATATATATATATATATATATATATACATATATATATATAAATATATACACATACATATATACACACACACACACATATATTTATATATAAATCAGGTAACATTTGTATGTGGGAATGATGTAACCATGAATTCCTCTGAAGTGTTCAAATGAAAACTAAAAAACACAGTAAATGATATTTAAAATGCGCATACTTTAAGAAGTTTCAAAGGATCGGCAGAGGTCATACCTAATTCAGGCAAAGAAGCAATAGAGACTACAAGGAAGAAACAGGAAGCTTGTATGGAAACAATAGTCTCTTCTATGTAGATTTTTTTTTTCAAATGCATAATTTATTTTTAAATTCATAACTTACAATTATCTTCTACATCTTTTTTGCTGTCCTCTTCCGCAGGAAACACTTGATTGATAGCAGCCTGGAAAGTCTGTTAGATGAAAAATATTAACACTGTCAGAATTCCATAAAAACAGAAATACAGTTCAAGGATGTCTGATGGAATGACACAAATGACTGTACTGTAATTGTGTGTGGTTTAAAATGAAGTTGCCAGCTTTACACTTTGGCATTGAAAACTTTACCAAGTTACTAGATGCAGATACGAGCTGCTGCACTTACGTTACTATACCACATTATAAAAATGCAGTCAACTGGAATATATATTTTTATTGCAATAATATTCAATGCTCATTTCCAAAATTGTATGAAATATTGTAATAGTCTGTAATATAAAAATGAGGCTAAAAAAAAGTACTGCAAAGGCAAACAAAACAGCATTGTAAAGGACACACAACTTCCTCAGTTTTACGAAGAAGCACAAAGAAGAAAAACCTAATTATTAGTTCAGCCAAAGGACTGTGCTGTCATTATCATATGCTGTTTTAAAACATTTCTACTTAAAATATAAATGTTCAATTCATAATATGCTCTGTATCTGCACATACTGTAGCTCTGGTTGTTGCTTTGTTGGCTTTTTTCCTTCAATAAATCAATACTAAAGTAAAACAAGAACTTCCTTCAACCCTTGTATTCCAGTTATGCAAAACAGCCATTTATCAAGTGTTCACATCCAACTGGAAAAATTCATAACAAAAGCAACTTTGTTTCTTCTTTAGTCTCCAGAAATCATAATTTATATTGTTGTAAAAAGGAAGGAAAAACATTCTAGCACACATGCATTACACCATCTGCACAAGAATACCTATTGTAAGAGACAGGTTCTTAATTACACTTTTCTGTTTACTGTTGGAGTAGCTTCATTGAGCTACCTATGAACAAAAACCCTGTTGTACCAATTAAACACCATAGTCACCATGCTGCTGCAGGCACAGTCTCCTTTTCCCCATGGAAATAGACACAAGAAGTCCAGTTGAATATTTGAAAAGGCAACCAACTGGATCTATAGAATGACCTTAACAAATAGGTTTGCTTGTTTAACATTGTACTTGGCAAGATAGTCCCATGAGAAACATCTCACACAGAAGTTTAGGAGAAAGACAGCAATTTGCTTCATCTTTGCTTCAGTACAACAGACACAATACATGAGCTCTTACAGCTTATACCATCATGAACAGCCACAAATTCCAACTCCTTTTGAAACGGAAAGGGTTAAAAATGTCTCAGAGCAGAACTAATTGTTGCCAGCTGGAAAACAGTAAGTCTATGATATCCCTTCCCTACGAAGTTATCATAAAGTATGCAATTTGTAGCCACAATGAATTATATTTTGTCATGCCCTTATCAGGATCTAATGCAGAAACATATGCACATGAAGCTTTCCTAAGGGAAACAGAACTGCTTGATGATGTTGGAACATTTGCATGTCCATCAGACCAACCTCCTCCAAAATATCCTTTATCAGAGTGTGGTGGAGCCATGGAGGACCCCAACATCTTTACCTACCTCAGAAAGTTGCCAGCTACTAATCAGAGTTTTAGCAGATCAGAGATCCCCCTGCCCCAATATAGCAGTTAGAACATACTATCTTAATAATTTTCTCTGCAAGTCTGACAATGATAAAGGTGTATCTCACTGGGTAAAAATATATTTAAACACAACAGTTTCCCACATAAACAGTTTCCTGTGCATGAAACAGTGGAAAAGTTTAAAAATAGTATGACCAGCTTCACAAAAATCTAGCTTCACTTCTTGTCTGCTGATGTGTAACCTAAGCTTAACTACTAACAAGACAGAATTCTTTTTCACAGGAGAGAATGAACACGATAGCCAGCTATTCTGTAATACGTTTCACAAATCTCTCATACTTTTAACATTTCATGGATCTAAAGCCAGTCATACCAGGTCTATCCCAGAAGAATAAGAGCTTTTTCAATGTCCTCATCACTAAGCCTTCTGATTCAAGATAAATTTCAATTTAAAAAGAGAATTCATGCTGTATTATGTCCTCCTTTATTTTTTCATTCAATGTGAACTGTCTAGAATACTTCAGAAGTGATAAAACAAGTAAACAATATGAAGAAGACCTATCTGAAAGCTGATGTTTTTCTGTCGGACTGTTGTAGATTGGAACATGAAGCCTAGTTTCAACTACATCAACAAAGAATTTTTCTCCTGTATGCCACAGTTGGACTACTGCCTTATGTAAGGTGATTTACTTGTCATATAGGTTAAGTACACTAGCTAGATGTGCAGAGCTCCAAGTATTGACAATTACTATTAAAATCTAATATATTAAACAGGAAAATGGGCAAGGTAATCCAGGTCTATCAACGAAAAATTATCCAAATAAATTCTTTACCATGTTGTCCCTTTTAAAAAAAAAATAAAATCATAAGGAGAAAACACTTGAGGCATTTGGTAGAAGACTTCTGCATTAAAACATAGCTTAGGACAAACTCATTCTAAAAAAAATGGAGAGTGTATTAATCTTGTGAGACACTAAATTGGTCTCAGAAGGAAAAACAGAGGGTTTAGGGTTTTTTTTCCCCTCTTTGTAATGAAGCAGCCCTTGAAATCCAATGGCAATCTTAACTATTCTCACAGAAACTAGATGAGTGAAAAAAGATATCTTTCCATTCAAGCAGGATCTTCTTTCTACCATGTAATCCAATACATGTAACCATGCCTCCCTTTATACCTTCCAGATACAGCCAGGATACACCCCTACTCTCAGCTGTATTTCACAAACCAACCTAAAGCCATACAGTGTTTAAGACAAGAACATGTCACATTTTTGCAAGTAAGCTGCACTCACTGCTAAAAAAAAAAAACAAACCAGCTTGAAACACTGAACTTTGGACATTCTGATCATTACTTTCAAAGTACATGTATTCATTTATACTTAGCCCAGGAAAATACCTTTCTGGTTATTCACAGCATACCAGAGCAGGTGCTCCATAAAGCCCTCCATAACCCTTCAGAACTGGCACAGAGCCATAAGGTGCCTCTTGGCTGATGTCAGGAGGGGTGTCAGCAAGTGCCTGAAGCACCACACACCTTCCCAATGACTGCCAGAAACTCATACTGCTGATGCTCTAAGAAACGTAGTGCCACGAGGGTCCAAGTTCCTTCGAGGCATCTTTCCTAATCACTTTACTTAGATTTGCTACCTGCAGGAAAAGAAAGTTTAGCAATTCCACTGTCATCTGCCTTCTCCCTGTTACAGCATTAAGCAACACAGCAAAATAAGATATACGCAACTGGATCTGAGGTTAGTATTCCCGGTATTTTCATAAAAGTGCACTCTTTAGTAGAAGTGTAAATGCAATTCTAGCAGACTTTAACAACTGGCTGCCTTTCTGCCAGCCTCCTTCCTTGTCCAGCAGCGTGCGAGTGCTGGTGGGACATGGGCCAGGGCTGCCAGCACAAGCCCCCTGCTCCAGTTCAGAGTCCATCCTCAGGGCAGTGCTCCAGCCCTAGGTGGGACCACGCTCGTTAGCAAACTGCTCTCCAGTTTCTCTGTCTTTCCAGTCCTGGCATTTATCAGCCTTGCAAGCCGATGATCTAGTTTTTGGGGAGTAGCTCCCACGTGTAACACATGCACCCTCTGTTCTGATAACATGCTCCTGCAGCTTGGGTTACTCTTCCTTGTATGGTGCAGGCTGGGTGACTCAGATCCCCACCTCTCTTCAACACCCAGCCTCCAAACAGAAATGTAAATGCTGTTGTTAACTCTGTATCAGCCACAGTACCCAAAACTGCTACTGCTGGTTTGTAAGTAAATCAGTGTGTTGGCCAACTACCTTCACCCAGTCTGGACTGGGTAACTTGGTTTCATAATACAGAGCAATCTACAGCCATGCTGGCCTCAGGTTCTCAGTCCACTGCTTGCTGCAGTCCTGAAAACTTTCCACTCCTTCATTTTTAAGGTGGATCCATTCTCTGACCTCATTTGCTGTGTCACACACAGCTCGGCAGGCAGAGCTGAGAGGGTGCCACTCTGAAACACCAGAGCTAGCTACAAGTGGGGAGGGAAGATTTTAAGACATCGTGAAACTGCTGCCTTGCAGCAGCTATTGCAGTTATTAACAATATATTTTAATTAACCATTAAGAGGTATAAAAGGCAATAATCAAACATATGCATACATATTTCCTTTTCAACCTGTGATCTCTGGTAAGCTACCAGCACCTACAGAGAATACATATGACATGTTAATGACCCAGATTAAAAAATAATAATAAATTGCACTGCCCGGATATGTTTACAAGGTCAGGTTACTTCTCTCCTCCCTGTAATTATCATGGGCAGCTCTGGTGCTGCTGGATCACTCCCTCTTACTGAAGAGCACTTTTGAACTATCATTTTAAGTAAACAAAGTTGATAACAATGCATATTAATGCTGACTGCTTCAAATTTATGATCTAAGCCCACAAGAACAATCTTCTTAAAAAGATAAAAAGCAATGATAAACACTTCACTATGAAATAAACCAATGACACCTTGAAAAGACTGAGAAGGTAATCAAGAAAATGTGTTACTTCACCTCTATTAATATAAGGAAGTTTGTTAATTAGAAATATAGGACCATAATCTCTACTGTATTTAAACTGTAAAGTGCTTGTTCCTTTAGATGAGTGAACATTAGGCCCTTCATTGATCTGCTTAATTCAAGAAAACAGCCAACAGCAGAATAACAGACTTTCTAGACAAAATAAATTGTTCATTGTGAATCATGAACCAAAATATTTGTGGCTTAGAAGAATTTTTTGTTTTCACACACACACACACACACAAACAAAAACAAACAAACAAACAAATATAAATAAGCTCCCTGAAAGGAATGTATGTTAGAAATAAATAACAACTCAGAAATCTACTTATTGCCTGTTTCTGTTTCAATAAACAGACTATGGCTTTGTATCACATCAGAACCATTTAGGGACATAAACAGAAACAGTGGTGTGGGTCAAAATCACTTAAGTCAGTTAAAAACTGCTTAGACATAGCTTTGGAATATTTCATATTCTTGTCTGAATAATTCTGCTCTTCCCCAAACTGAAGAATACGTTCTACTACTACTAAACCTAGAGTCTTTATCTCTCACACACAAAAATCAGACTTTACACTTGCTTTATATTTCTAAGGAAAGCAAAATCAACTTCCTCTACAAGATGTAGAAAAAAAAGAAAGCCTATAAACATTCCCCTGAAGGAAGGACTGCTGAATAACCTTTTGACCTGTGACAAGACATTTCTACTATTGTTGACTTGAAAAGAAGTTATAAAAAACATTTTCTTTTCCATACCTGAAGATAGAGAAAGGACAAAATTGTTAGAAAGGGCACATTCCACATATTCACAAAGACCAAAATCACAACTTTTAAAACAGTGCCTGATCTTATCCCAGCTAGTAAAAATCAGCACATTAACCATCTGAATTAGGATAATTAATAGATACAAGGTACTTCCTGTAAAAATTGACATTTAATTACAAGATACTGAATCTGAAAGATGTTAGGATAGATGAAGCAGTAGGAACACACTAATTAGGATGAATTAGGACTTAATTTTAAAAGTTACATCTTATTTTGCCTTTAATTTGATGCAGAAATTCCACAGGACCTTTGTTTGACATTGTTACTTCTCGAGGTACTTGAGGTAAGAGGATTCATCTCTCAATCGTCATCAAACAGTAAAGTGTCTAATCTAAGCCAGAGCCTAGTACACCCCTGTAGGACATTCTCTGTGCATGTAACAGAAGACAGAGAAATTAATCTCTCTAATTTAGGAAAATAAAGTATACAGTACCAACCAAATCAAATGGCTACAGAGATTCAATCCTCCTCTCTTTCACCAGCACACACTCAACACACATGCAGGTAACCATGCACTTCTTACCAGTGGGATGTTTAATTTGCAATGCAAACTAAAGCTAAACAAAGACCCTTCACCAAACCTAGAACAGAAAACTGATTTTCCACTCCTTCAGACTGCATTTAATTGTAGATATTGGCAAAGATTTGGCCTACCCATAGTTTTTGTAAGATTCTCCTCTGTTTGCGAGACACTTACCTTGCCTTTTTGATTCAAAGGTTCAATAGTTAAGTTGTCAGTGCCAATGTCCACAATCATCCCCATCTGAAACCCATCAGTTGGGTGTGGAGCCCAAACAGGCTTCCCATCGTCCATTGTGGGATCTATCCAATACTTCCTGTAAGAAAAAAAAAAGAAAAAAAAAATTAGTAATTTAGTAACTAAAAATGCTATCAGGATTCACTATACAGATTTTATCTTATTATGATTATTCCTATTATTTAGCATGGAAGGAGGCAGCCTGCAGACTGAAGTCAGCCTGTCAGGACAAGATTCTTCTACGCTTTTTCCAGCCCATGACACTCTCCTTACACCGGGCACTCTTAGGCTGAAGTATGGAAAAGATTCAAGAACAGATCAATGGGGGGAGGGAGGGTGTCTGTTCACACACTGCTCCCTGCAGCTCTTTCCCCAGTTTCCTTAACTTGTGAACCAAAAAGAGGGTCTGTCTCACAAACAGATTCAAAGATAAGACTATACTAGGAATATGTATATACACATATGTGTATATACATGTATAGACACATACATATATATATACACACAGGCATGCAGTGGGTCATGTGATTAATGGACACTTGTCTGTCCCTGATTTGGTGTGCAAATACCTGAATTTCTGAAACAGGCACATGTTGAGGCATGTGAGCAGAAACCCAGCCTCTTGAAATTTAAGACAAATGAACACACTCACTCTTCACATGGGTGGGCATATGGCTTTTAAATAACCCATATATATATATATATATATATATGGTCACAATTAATTTATCATACAATAAATCTTTGAGAAACTGACCTCTGATACTGTTAACATCAAAACTCTGCCTCTTAAGGAATACCAACCTTCTTTCTAATAAAATCTTAAAATATATGGAATTTGTTTCAGAGGAATCTATGATGTACAAGTGAAATACAGGCAAAGGCCAAGACATTCAAACCTTGGGCTCCTCAAGTTATGCAGCTAAATAAGCTCCCAATTAAAAGGACTATTTGATTGCATGCAGTGCTCATTGAGCTAACCAGGAAAGTTGCCAGGACTGGCACGCTCTGAATAGCTAACGGTGCCATTTTAAATATGCTGAATTAGTCGAATTAGTCCTTAAAAAAAAAAAAAAAAAAGAAAAAGAAAAGTAAGAAAAAAATCCCTCTACTTTATAGTCCTTACCCTAACAAGAATAGAGTCCACACAACTTGAAAGGCTCAGTTCTCCTGGCTGTTTCTTACTCCCTCCAAAATTCATTCACATACTGAACTGACATGTTTTAGCGATTCAGAAATTTGTAAAAAGTATGTCATATCACTAAGGTGTAACTTGCCTCACTCAGCATGAACCAAACAAGCCTGCCAAGCAGCAACGAAAACACTAGCAGCAAACTCCACGAGTCTGTAAGCTAGGCAACATGTCCCACATTTTTCTTTTCCCACATCTGAAGGAAAAAGTAGCTCAAAACATTTCTCACAACCAGGGAATGCTGCAGATCCCTTTGCCATAAGCAGTGGCAAGGAAAAAGGATCATCGGCCCACCAGAAAGTTGTACAACCACAAGCAGAAAAGGACACTCTTATCCCAGGATCTGTCAGGACATGTGCTTTTTGCTGCCTCCAAGGACTTTAGAAATGTCTGAAGTGAAGGAAAAGGCTTGCTGGGACCTCTTTGAGAATGCTGCTGGGTTTAGCATCTTGCTTGTCACTCAGAAAGACAATTTATTATTAACTTTAATGTGAAATAACAGAAGATAAAAACCAAAGACTCGGAAAGCAAAGTCAAACATTTTTTTAAATGTAGTGTTCTGAGAGACTTTGAAAAAACTAGCTATAGAGTACTCAATTTAGCATTGATATCTGGTTTTGTTTAAAATTTACTCATTTAATCAGACTTTTTCTCTCCTTGAATGCAGTTCAGCATGTAAAAAGCTCATGAAGATTTAACAAATGTTTCCAATGTATTCTACTCAAGCAATTCACGTTATTTAAAATATTATATTTAATACAGGAAAACTTGTGGATTACTTTTCCCCCATGAATGGAGCATATTAACTTCTTTTAACTACCCAGAGAAAGTTTATGTTCTAAAATCTCAGGTGTCACATTCACTTCTATTTACTTCAAACTTTTTGCCACATCCCATGAACTCTACAAAATACTAACATTGTCATGTGTTGCCAGCAACATACAATAAATCCTGTGAAACATCTGTATTCACTCACAATTGGCTGTTGGCCATTTTTACTTTAGGATACTGTAAATCAGATCTAGTACACACCACAATTTTATGGCAGCTTTTTTTTTTTTTTTTTCAGCCAGATCTGACCTCTGAGTACAACTGCCATTGAGGCCATAGTTGCTAAACAGCTGAGTTTATTTCTGGATATAAGCAGGCCTTCATTTCTTCACAAGCCTATCATTTGCTTTTAAAATGATAGTTCAAGTTAGTATTTAAGTGATATGTCACATAACCACTAAAAACAAGGTTCTCTTTTACATCCCAAGTAGCATGGTCAGGGCTCCAGATGTAACCATGTCACATAAGAAACAAACCCCAAAATTACTACCAAAATTTCTGCCAAAAGTTAGACTCCAAATAGCATCCAGAAGCTCCTGCTTTGCTCACTGACATGGGCTTTTGCATTCTTAGCTATTCTCATGTCCACTTCATCCTTTATTAATAAATTATGATAGGGGAGCATCATGAGCCAATAAAATACTCTTGAAGGACAGAGCAGAGTTAGAATTCAGCCATCACCAGAAAATGCGTGTTTAAGAAAAATACCTGAGGCTTTGCAAGCATCTAAGAAGCCACTGGGTGAAAGCATCAGAATATGAGTGCAGTAGTTATTTACTGGACAATTTATTTTAATAAATACTGCCTGTCTTCTGCCTGAGAAGGGACACAAAACCAGTTGTAACATTTTGGTTTTGGCACCACTCCATCTCTGTCAGCTAGCCCTCTGACAGGCTGCACATTAAAATTGGATACCGAAACCTATCAGGTCATACCTGCTCTATTATCTACCCCTCCATCTGATGTATATGCCATTGCCCTTGAGACAGATGCATTAAGTCTATGCCTGAACCAGCTCTTGAATAGCTAGTTTCCAGCTCAGCATTTTAAGGTGAACAGAAACAAAAAAAGTTCAAAGTTCAACTACCTGATAAAACTCCCTTAGAAAAAGTAAATAGCACTTATTTTTAAAACATGAAACTATGCTTAGCTGATTAAAACACACATATCACAGAGTAAAAAGTGGGGAAAATATTGATTTGCACGGAGAAACCTTAAATCATATTTTCCCCATAAAATTACAGCCCCAATCTGGTTACAGACCATTCATTAACAGTAATCAATAGGAACAAACATTTTTTTCCACATGTGCATCCATCTAAACCCAATCTACATGCAGTCAACCTCAGGATTGAAAGAGCACACCGTTTCTGAAAACTATGAAAGCAAAAAAGACTCATATGCAGGCTAAAAGCACTAAGGCAACACATTTGAGAGCAACACCAAATGAGGCCAGAATGAGCTATCTTCCACATTTGTATTTGCATATAATGCATTCAACATACATGAAAGATTGAAGTAGTTGATGATAACTAGGTCGTTTTTGGTCTCCACTATTAAGACTTCTTCCAACACCAAGAAGAGAAATCACAAAGGTTATGCTTATAACCATGAAGTCAGACACCCTTTTCTCATTCTACAGTCAGTAAAAAAAAAAGACCAGGAACCCCGTACTGGTGTTCACCTCTCTGTTGAGCAGGAGAGGGGCAGTAGTCATAAAACAAGCCTTTGTCTAAAATTGGTAAATTTAACAGTTATTTCTTCAAATATCATATTTTATATTTTCATAATTGGCAAGCAGCAATAGACCTTGCCTTACTTGTCAGTAATGGTATCGAACAGAGTCAGCACTGGGTAAACACACTAGTTACTGGCAGTTCAAACAACTTGCAAGACAAAACTATACTGTGCTCCCGAGATTACAACAGCAAGAAAAACACCCACCAGCTCTTCTTCAACTTTTTATGCACTATTATTCCCTCTTTTGGAGAATGTTTAACAATATTGTTTCTCAAAAAACTTACCTACATAACATAGTGAATATATGAAACAACTAAGAATTCCTCAGTTGAAAGTTGGCACATTATCAACCCATTTATGTTTACTGAAATGTTCTTGATTTTAAAAGAATGTAATAAAATTATATTTTGATTTTGTAAAGTATTCAAAAGGAAATCAAACACTACCATGTGGTGAAAGAATTCTAGGAAGGCAAAATATAATAATGCAATTTTAAACTTATTACCAGAGCCCAGAGGTATTTGCATGATCTGATCCTATTTATTATCCTATGAACAGTTTACTATACCAATGAACTGTACTGACTGCTGAATTAACTAATTAAAACAAAAGAAAAACTAAATTTCATTAAACAGCTGACAAGATCTCATTAAAATCGCTAAATCCAAGGAAAATAAACTAGTCAGAATAGTATAGAGTAGCAAATCATCACAGTAAAAGTAGAATTACATAGGTTATATTAAAAAAACTTACTACTTGTGTGGTTAAAGAGCTGCCCAAAATTCTGCAGATTACACTAGGCTCATAAGAATGCTTTGCAAATGTCCTATGAACATACAAGACAGACAGAGGAAAGCATATGAAAATACACAGTGGTAGCTTACTGTCAGTCAAGTTATTTTGTCAACCCTAGTTCATTATTTAACTGAAACTTCATCAAATCAAAGCTTAGGCAGCATTCAGCATTCTACTGCAGGTGATAAAATATTTCAAAGGAACTGCAGATACAGTACATAGATTTTTTTTTTTTTTAGCTAAATGCAATACAGTCATAACTGTATTGTTTAACTGAATATTAAACCCATTCAGTTTTTATTTACTTTTTCAATTTACAATAAAACTTCTCTGCACTCTAGTGTAGCCATATCAAACTGCAGTTTTTCATACCTACTTAAGATAACATCAGCAAAGCAACTGTGTCAAGCTGTGACTTCTGCCAACTGGGAAAAGAACAGGTTAGAATACAGCACAGCACAAAGGTATCTTTAAAAACAATTTGCCTTGAAAATATTAATGCTGACTTGTTAATTGCC